CTGACCCTATGCAATTTTACCCAGCTCCCATTGATGTAAGAAGCTTTGTGCAGCCTTTAGTGGGTCTTAAGTGATATTAAGTATTCCATTAGAGAAATGTTGTTTCCATTATAGGTTTACAACAATTTTAACATTTAAAGGCTATCATTAAAATATGTAGCTTTATAACATGCTTTATCCGTATATGTAGCAGATTGCTTCTTACTGGCAACTGGTCATGTATTAATTTTTCAGAAACATGTTTCCTGAATATGATTAATGACTCACATCCCTTTCATATCGCTTTATTACAGATGAATGGTATATGGATTCTAAAATACAAAGCATATGCTATATTTCTAATTAGACTGACAATGTCTCAGAAATATTAGAAGTTTGAAAAAAAAAACAGTTAACACAAAAGTTTGTTATCTTGATATTTCACATTTATAAACTTAAGATATTTTCTGTTGATCATATGAGTCTTGATATTTATCAGTTCAACCCCCTGGTTGGATCTTTTAAATCATTTCTGTTTTCAAGGCAGAAAATACAAAATCTGCTTTGCAATGTYTTTCCTTTATAATGTAGGACAAAAAAAGCAGTTCCAGAATTGACTGGAGTTTTCATCAAATGTTTCTCTATAAAATTATTGAAAACAAAAATTCCAAAAAAGCTAAAAAGTAGTGACACATGYTTTCAGGAAAAGGCTATTTGTCACTGAAAAAATATTCCTTAAATTGGTAAGAACATAAGAGCAGCTGTAGTGAGTCAGATGAAAAGCTTGTATAATTTATTATCCTGTCTCAAAGAATGGTCAGTTAAAATGCTCAGGGAAAGAGTTTCCTCTTCTTGTCTCCTCTATCTTCTCCATGAGAGACCCTCTTTCACCAGTCAGTGGTTTAGAGACCAGTCCGCCGAGCATCTCCATGTACGAACAACCACAGCCCTAAGAGCCAGGAATGGGTTTTTCTGCTGGAAATGTGGCCAGTCTCTTCCTGAAGACAAAGGCACCTCACACTGTTCTTCCACCCTAGGTCTGCACTTCAGCCAGGCCTTGTACGAGAAGTCACCTGCTTTTGGAGGCTTTAAATCTGCTACCTGATGCCTCTGTTGGTGGGGAGCARGGACGCACACCCTGTTAGTTTTTAGGTTTTGAGAACAGCCATGAGTGTTGGTTTCCTGCTTGCTTCCTGATGATAAATAATTCAGTACCTGCTGTCAAAAGGATAACTAGCCTTTGTAATCCACACAAAGCCATTCCTCAGCTGGGAACTGCCCGAGTGCCCTGGCAGCTGAATGACAGGGAGCTTGAGGAGTGGTTCACAGCTAGGAGAAACCATCAGCTCCAGAGGGTCACCAGTGGCCACCGCTGGTGGCCCTGCTGTAGTCAGGGACTTAGCTGCTGTCTGAGCAATCGCACAGCTCCCACAAGAGCCACGCGTGCTCTCCTTAAGAGCATGAAGCTCAAGAGCATTGGCCATACCTCTTGTATCATATCTCTCATATCATTTCCAGTTTGAGGGTTATTTAGTCTAGATTACTTAGTCTCATTTGGAAGCCACTCTAAGTTGTCCTTGTCATTCTGCTGTAAACCTTTTTGGTAGAAAAAGACCAGAAATGCATTCAGTATGTGTCACCTTGGATTTATAACTTTTTTTTTTATCCCTTTCATTTCTGAATAACTCCTAAAAAATGATCTTTTTGGACACTCCTGAGCACTGAGTTGATGCTTTCACAGAACTGTCTGCAGTCACTTCTAGACCTTTCTTTGAGTAGTGATAGCTGGTATAGAACCCAGCACTGGGCTGGTGTATTTAGAGTTGGATTTCTCTCTGATTTGTGCTTGCTGGCATTGGGTTTCATTTCCCTCGTGCATCCTATGTTTGTGAAACCATGAGTAGTGCAGTTTCAGGTATAATGGAGATTTAAATGTACTTGTAACTTTTCCTTTTCTTTTTACTTTCCAGTTGAAGTTTTAATGAAATTCTTGGGTGAATTTTATTTTTAGAACAGTATTTCTTGGGAACAAATAAASCCCATTGCAGAAGTGTGACCAGCCTCAAAGACATATATTATCTGTTAGTTTCAGTGAATCAGAATTTACATATTGATGATCTGTAATATATATGAGCAGAATTTAAATCATTGACTCAGAAGCAAAAGCTCCTCACAAGCAGTATTTCAGTTACCCAGTTCCACAGCTTTTACTGAATGTTGCTGTCTAGAAGGAATGTCTGCAACCAGATATTTGATGTTATTTATTTAGCATCTTCTATTTGAAGTTGGACTTAAAAATTTTCTAGACGTTCCTGACAGCCAAAGAGCTCCGGCAGCACGCGCAGTTGCAAGGACACTGGCCTGTGTTCTGCCTTTTCTGACATTTCACTTGTACTCCAAAGCACTACACGGTAATGCCCAAATAACTTCATAGCAGGAGACATGGGCGACCACGGGACACTCTAGTGTGTGAAGCAAGTTATGACAATGCTAGGAAGCTTCTTTTGAACTTGTTCATGCAAATGATAAATGGAAGAAAGTGCATTATCCAAGTGCAAGACCTGTTATCCCGCAGTGAAGGATGCTCACTCATTTGCTGAAAACTTAAATAGCTCTAATTAACRAACGTTTTGTACATCAGTATCACTAACAGATCTACTTGGTGTTCAGAATAAACAAAATACAAGTGTTTCTTACAATTATAGAATTAATTCCTGGTATTTAGTCCACTTTTGGGAGAAGTGGCATTGTAGAGGTAACATTTGCTCTGGCTTTCAGACAGAGGATTTACTYTTTTTTTTCGAGTTACCCTGCCACCATTTGAATTAGGATGAGCCCAGATTGCCTTTGCTCACGTCCTTCTTCATGCCTTATTGAGTTTACTAACTTCTGTGAACTAAAAACTGACTGTGAGGGCCTGGAGAGTTCAGGAATGGGAAAGAAATGAAGAAAATCCTAGACCTATAGCAARTGGCTGAGGTCCTTCAGTAGGTGGCACACTTCCCTGTAAATCCCTGGCGAAGGAAGGGAGAGCGTCAGCGCTCAGGGCACCTGCCTGGGGGAAGGTTCCCAAGAGGCAAAACCAAGAGCCAGCGGATGTGGCTGGTGAGATTCCCATGGCAYGTGCCAGAAGTCAAAAGATGGTCTAATACAGTCAAATGCTCATTAACTACAATTCAATTACTAACATCTTTTTTGTATCCAAAGTGCCTTTTGCCATTTTGAGAAGTGAGATGTTCYTCCTTCCTCTGTTTCTGGGTGCCACTGTGCAGGGCTGAGAGTGGCCTTTCCCTCTGAGTCTCCTCAGACCATGCAGCAAAATCTCTGTATGGGAAGCAAATGATGTGATGAGATTTCTTTGAATTGGAAGAGAATATAAAATTGAAAGTTGGTTATTTAGGAAGAACACTAAATTAAAAACTATCAGCTCTAATAATATAAATAAGTAGGCTATTAGAAAATAAAGTCACTTAATTGTTTAGGTTATATAACACAAACGTTAAATGTCTTGGCAGTCTCTTCTTTCAGCTGTTCTTGGAAAAAAAYAGGCGAAGGGATACAAATAAATAGGCACCACTATTTTTCCTTTAAGAGAACTAACCTGTGCCTGCCAACATAGTGTGCTTGTTGTAACATTTTTTCCAAATGCCTAAAAGCAGAGATTTTTCAGAAACTTAATCGGGTTGCGATATTAAAAAAAAATAAAACAAACAAATGAACAAAAGGGAACCTGGCCGTAACACTTGCAGGGTTCGTTAGGGTTCTTGTATTAGAAGTGCACATAATGTCTCAGCTGAGTGTGTGGTCAGCATTGTGTATTTTCCTATTCAGCTGGCTAATTAGTTGTCAAAAATGGGAATGAGTAAAAATCACCTTTTATTTAAAAAACCCTTTTCTGTGATTCATGGACTTTAAAAAAAATATCTTCCCGTGAAAGGGCATAATTTCAGATTTTGTTGTTGTTTTTCTCCTCCCCTGGCTATGGTCAAATGGTGACCTGTTATTATCAAGCTGCTGACATTCATAGCAGGTTAGTTCTGCCTCTGGAAATGCTTTATGTGGAGAAAATCACATTTTTGAAGGAAAAGCTCAACATAGCAGAAAAATACTTATCCTTTGAGGAGCAGATCCATTTTTGTTCATTACCAGGCAAATACTCCTCTCCTCCTCTTGGGCCTCTGCCAGAGTTATTTACCCACCGGCACTGGCTCCTTCACGCTGGCCGCCTGAGCTTGGTGCTTCTTTGTGGCATTGGAGCTTGTGTCCCAGCTTGAGGTTATCCTGGATGAAGAAGTGCTTCACTGCGACTACTTTGCTTCCTGTGGAGGAGCCACGGGCACACTCCCCTGTGAGGAAAGACTGCTCTTGTTTACATGGGAGAGCAGGCAAACAAGATACAGCAGCCCTGAGTAAAGCAACACAGAGGGAGACGTGCTGGGAGGCTGGGCTGGCACCGCCGGCTTCTCTTCTCTCGTAGGCTAGGACGGCGCTCGAGCAAAACGAAAGCAAGATGCACAAACTGCAAGAGTGCAGTCCTGTGGCTGGAAATGTGCTTTATGATTCTGCGTGGCCGATACGTGAAAYTCAGGAATGTTAGATATCTCTGAGCAGAAGAGTTTGAGAGGCTCAGTAGATGGTAAGTAACTCTGAAAATAAAAATTCCTGCAGCTATCATCTGAATTAATATTGCTGACATTGCTTATCTTCTGGTGCACATGGCATCCAAAGTAAAGCAGGAGGCAAATGCAGTCCTTTCAGGACCGTCGGGAAGCCTTTTAATCCAGCTCAGACTCTCTCCTCTCCTTCCTTCCCAGGAGCGGAGCYGCTGTGGAGCCCCCCTTGCTCTCAGGTGGTCCCTGAGGAGGAGCTGGTGGTCGGACACGTCGCCCTTGCTCACCAGGAGCTGCTCCCGCATCACAGGGGGCTCAGTGCCCTTCTCCTACCCACGAGCAGAGCAATAGATCCTTCTTCCAGCCCTTCTCYTGTGGAAGAGGGAGGAAGCTCTCCTTCCAGCATTGGAAAGCCAGCCCCACGCATCTTGCAGCCTTAGTGATAAGAATAAGGAGCCCTGAAGGTAACTGGGGAGCTAGAAAAGGCAGTGGTGGGAGGATGGTAGGAAGCACTGCAATCCGGGCAGTTGAGGAAGAGCGAGGGAAAAGGGAGGAAGCTCCAACACAAATAATGCCCAGTGCATTTAAGCAACATTGACAGAAAGCCATTAATACTTCTTTATTTATGAGGAATGTCATTCACACAGTTTCCCATGTCAGTAGAGAGTGTCTAATTTAATCAGACTTTAAGAAAGAGGACGCTAAATGGAAGCATAACAACACCACCAACACTAATTTTAATTTGCTCTTCAGCCCTCCGAGACTTTCAGGAGGAAACCGGGGACATTTGGTTCCACTGTTGCTTTACAGCAGTCACCCTGAGACAAGCAGAGCATCCCCCTTTTTGTCGGGGGATACTACCTGGTAAAGCTTTAAGGTCAGGTAAGGCTTTATCCGTAACAACTCTGTGAAGCCATTGCTAAGGCCTTGTGGGTGCCAGCTGAAGGACCCAAGTAATTTCTGTCTAAGAAAGACAGGATGAATTACTTTAAAATTGTTAGCTATTTTAGGAATGGTTATTTAACTTATTTAACTTTTCAACTCAACTGTACCACTGAAGAAAAATTATATAGTGTTTCCTATTATCTACTTAGGGAGCAGCATGGCTTACCAAACTGATAAATATTTATTGTATGTTCTGAGATCAGCTAAGGTTTTAGAATAATTTATAATATTTAATAAACTGTGAATGTCATTGCTGAACGTTATCATTCTTTATTGCATCTGCTACTAGCAGCAGTTATGATGGCCAAGCTGCTTTCCAGGCAGCAAAAAAATGACTTGCTAGAATGAATCTGAAAACATCTATACTGAGATAACATCTGTGTATCGCACACCTTTAAAACTGCCTCAGTTTTTTTTTTCCAGCTAAGTTTGAATGATAGTTTTGTTGAAAGTTAAATGTAAATGCAAAAAAAAAGAAAAAAGATCTAGAGGAAAGTGATAGGGCAGGATGACCCATGGGTGTTGTTATTAAGTTGTGTTTGTCACATCTGGGCGTAATCCCACATGGGATCCAGACACGGCTGCTCCCTGTGTGTGGAGTTACTGGCAGGAGTTTGTGAAGAAAATTAGGCACCGCAATAGGAGGAGAATGTGGCGCAGGACGCAAAGACTCTGGTTTGAGAATGATTGTTCTTTGGAGCAGTGTTGAACATCTGACTGTTGTTCCAGCATCTTCTGGCGTCTGTTGCCTGGGATGATGTAAAGGGACCTYGAAAGCCCGTGAGTGGCAGAGGGGAAGCTGGCAGCGCTTGGCACAGCGCAAGGAGCCTKCTGCTTCCGGGCGGGAAAATACTCACCCATGTCCCTCGGGGCRGAGGAGATGGGAGCTGCTGCGCAAAGGGGCAATGCGGGAAAACCTCAACTGAAAGCAAGTCCCAAGCACTGCCGRCTCCCATTGACTTAATCTGACTTCATGTCAAATAAAGATTACAAGCCCAAGGTCAGTATATTTACACAGACAGAGTAATTCCAGTCAAACTATACTCAGTGACAGGAATGACAGTATCGCTTGCACTGAGAAACAGAAAAACAAAACAGGACATGCTTAGTGACCTAGCAAGACTCTAGAATTTCCAGTCCTCTCCGTATTGGAAATGCTTGCAGGAAAAAATGTTTTATGTAATAGAAGGCATTAGCTGTTGTAAAAGTATCATCATCTGAGAGATGCTCATTCCAGTATCACTACAGATGAAACCCAAGAAATCTCGAGATTCTCCTTCATCAAAGGAATGTGGCATAATGAAACACTGGGAATCTGACTCAGGGGGKCAACAGGGACTACGGCAAGTTGACAAGTATTTACTAACTGATTCTGTACCAGAACTGCCCGTCTCAAAACACTGAATTGTTATGAGGTTATTCCCCAAGTCTATAGAAATTACTCAAATTTGTTAACCATTTAAATTATAAAGTAACAAATTGATGTTGGTGCATTGGAGCCTGCCATAAGAGCTACAGCTTTTGGGATTTTGCTTCTCAGCCTGTAGGCTGAGGTATTTTTTTTCCAGATGCGACCCAAGGTGGCAATCTTGGTGACCGACGTCTTCGGACGTGAGGGTGAAACGGGGCTACTGCTGCAAGCTGGCATCACTTAGAYGCTGCTTAGGGTGGCCTTGCGATTTAACTGAATGGCTTCTTCAAACTCCAAGTGAAGATTTGGGTTTCAAAATCTGGTTAAGAGCAGCTTTCAAAAGCCTAACGCGCTTTTTCTGTGTCGAGAAGCCCAAGCCCGTAAGGCCAGAGAAGGGGCCGGGAGCACCGACAGGGCTGGCAGGGAAGCGAGCSGGGCTCGCTTCAGCGCCGAGCGAGCCGGGCAGCGGCGGAGCGGGCACCCGCCGGGGCGGCCGGCGCCCAGCGCGCACCCGGGCTCCGGCTCGGCCAGCAGCGGCGCA